GGAAAATACATACCTATGGTCTTTCTTGTTTCTTTTTAAATATGTCGTCTACTCTATTATTACTAGTGAGTGAGTAGTATTTTCTAAAATTCAAAACATACAACATGGATCATCATCTCCAGTCTTGTTTTTGTAAAAAAAGGTGAATAAAGCTTCTTCTTCATGTCAGTAGTATAACCAAACCCCAAAATCATGTCAAAGACCATGAGCGACAAAAGGCCACGAAACAATATCTTCTTAATTGCATTGCTGCTTAAATCTCCACGAAAGCATAGACAGATTTGGGTCAGAATACTTGAAATCATTAACCTTTGATTTGGCTACAAACCATCACAAAACCCAACACAAGGCATGAAGCCAGGTTGCTCAAATTGAATTGAATCTACCTATTGTGGATAGATAAAATAGTTTAGTAGTTGGTATCAGTGTCAATATTTGTGATCCAATCATCCACCGATCCATCTTCTTATGGAAAACATTTTTGTGTCCACAAAATGACATGTAAGATTTGTTTTAACGAGACGCAAGAAAAGCATAAGAGAGGAAAATTTACTATCGTTTTTAGTGTAATAATAAGTATATAGAATGTTTGTCACAGACCACAATATACACTAGTATCAAATACTTACTTATTTTAAACCCATACTACATGAGACAAAACGTTTATGAACCACAAAACAGAAATAAGAAAATAGCTTGTGCTCCAAACTTACAAAGCTGAGAAGGCTTTCCTCTTTGGGGTAGAAGAATTTGATGTTCCTCTTTCCACAGATAGCCTCAAGAACCAAGACACCATAACTAAAAACATCCGACTTGATTGAGAATGTCGCGTATTCTGGAGACATTCATGGAGCTAGCTGTTACCCATATGGATAGATAGATACTGAAAATATAATGAATGCGCTTACTAAGTTCCAGGCTTCTGTCTCATCCCTTCCAAAGAGCTGAGAAGGCTTTCCTCATGTCTTGGTGAAGATATCAAAGTCCTCGAGCAATGCCCTTTGTTATCTCCAGGCGCCTCTCCCAGTTTAGCTTATGGCTTTGCGTTTCGTCTGTATGAAACACGCTCAATACCAAATCAAATTAATTTCTTTCTAATATACTATTAACATTCAACTTGTAGAAAAAAGTCAATATAGGTGTCGAGGCTTGAGTTTTCCAGGAACTCAAAGCCTAGGATCATCTCATCTCCCTCAGAGCAAAATCCAAGAAGCTGCACTAGATTGTAATGTTTACCTCATTGGTGAATTCATCGATACGTTGGGCTGACCTCTTCAAGTAACGTTCCCTGTGACCACCACGTACGTACGTTGTGTAAGCTACAAGGAATAAGATTACAATATACAGTTTTGTATATAAGAATGTTTTGTATTTTAACCTTGTAAACTGTACCAAAACCACCTTGTCCGATCTTGAAAAATTATTAGTTGCCATGGCAACATTTTCAAGCTCCATCGTTGCAAATTGGAAGACCCCTGTTATGATCACAAAGTTTCTCACACTCATACATAAAAATAAGATTTAAAAGAAAGAAAGGTTGTGGGAAGAATACCAATAGGTGAAGGTGGTGCAGTTGATCTTGTTTCAATTCCTCGTGTTGGCTTATGCTTTATTTTACAATAGCAGAAACCAAACCCCCAAGAAGCACAAGGCCGACTCCAAGAGACACGATTATGATTTTCGTATTTGTTTTCTTCCTCTCTCCGGCTAAAGAAGACAAGTAAAAAAGAGTCATATATACATACATTCGGAATACTAAAATATTAAGTTCGTAAAACAGATCTTGACCAACAGCGAGGTAGTTCTTGCGGACATCAAGGAGCCCTCCGGTCCATAGTACACAACCTGATCCGCATATCGGCATTTGCGTAGGCTGTACAACTGCGACTCCGGATACATTTTTCTCTACATTCTCTCACCCCGATTCTCCTGTGAGTCTCTAGTATCTGGCAGCTTCATGTTCTCTAATCGCACAAACTCTTCTTGGACGATGTCTTCCTGACACAACATGT